TTGGGGGCAGGGGTAACTGCAGTTGGATCCCCGGACAGATACCCTGATGCCGTCAATCCTTTTTCTGCACCTTGTCCTCGCCCACTTACTGAGGTGTGGTGAGCCCATAAGTGGGATCATTTCAAGTCCACCCTAGTTTGGGGATTTCAGGGGGTGTCGGCCGTTGGGCGGTTCAATGGCCAATTGAGTCATCTTTCGAAGATTCCTTTTGAGTCTCTCTCCCCTCTCCCGGGGAGAACCACGTGACCAGTTTTGGCAGTGAGCAAGCAAGCAAGTACAAGTGTGCATGCGTGTGTGTGTGCGGGCAGGTGTGTGTGTGTGCGTCAACTTTAACTTAGACGTTACTATGATGTTGAGCCAGCTATCGTAAAATAGAATAAATTCTTTGAAGTAGTATTATCATGATCTGTGCACAGGGGAATATACGCTACGTTACAGCGTTTTTTATGTTCATAATTTATTATTTCCAGTAAAATCACTGCATGCATTCACTCATTGTTTGCATGCATTTGACCTCTAGTATTGACCCGTTCTGAGTCCTGACAATATCCAGGCTGAACTACATGTACACATGGTATCAAGAGTATGTAAGCCCCCAGGAGTATGTAACTCCTGATACCCTTTCTATGGGGTTCGCCGATGGCGAAAACTCGCATCACGTGGTGTAGTGTCACACACGGCTGTTTTTTTTCGCGAAATTTGGACATTTAACAAGATGGCAGCCAAAAGTCTCGATTGGGCTGGATCGGCAAGGAAATTTGAATTTTCAAATTCTCAGCAGCCGATTTCGCTGTGGTTTTCGCTCGATTTAGAAAGCTACCAGGCCAGGTTTACCCGGAAAACAGGTATTCCGTGTTCCTCTTGAAACTAGCTTTCCGCTGGTACCTCACATGGCCAACTTCGTCTCAGGAACAGTTTGTTCCGCGTTGCACAAGTCAAGCCTTCTTTCTCGCTCGTTCCTTGATTCATCGTTGACATGCCTGCGTCAAGAAGCCCTTTCAGGAGTTTTCCCAGTCTAGCTTTCAGTTTTCCCAGGTAGAGGACTATCTTCTGGCTATCTTCACCAAGTTTTATCACGTCCCGTGCACAAACTTCAGGTCCCGTGCGTTCGATGCTGAGCTACCTTTTCATGCGATTTAGGGGACAGATGGCATGGCGCTGGAGTCGCTGTTGAGTCCAGGAGGCCGAGGCCTGGTGGAAACTGCCCAGTAGACATGTGGGGTATTGCTGAAAAAGGCAGCAAGCACGCAGATAGCCCCGAAATTGTGATGTAGATCCAATTGTGCGTGTGTGCGAGTGCATATCGGCAAATTTGAAAGTTGCACCCGTGATCCCGGCGAGGAGAAGCTGAAAATCAGTGCGTGCGTCAATATCCAGACTACCAGGGACAGCTTGGAGAGGTTCGAAAAGGTCAGGATGCTGGTTGACCACGGCAGGAGTTCCTTTTACCTTCCTTCTCTCTCAAATTGTCTGGATATTGAGTATCTCGCTCGAGCGCTTTCAAATATTAAATCCTGGTTTGACTTGCGAAATCGTGGAACCACACGGAGAGTGACATGAGTTTCATCCCAAAACGCGAACTCCCATCGTATTCACGAGGTTTGCACCGCGTTACGTAAATCGCACCGAACGACTCCATATTGTTAGATGTCCGTGCGCGAACAGCCGTGCACAGTGGTACGTTTCCAGCCCGTTTTTAACGAGCAGCGGAGTAATAAAAAAATCACTCTCTGACAGAAACTCACTGCACGTATGCAAATCCCCAGCATGATCATGGCAGATATTCAGATTGCGTGCATACTATCCTTCGTTTGAACGTAATACGGAACGTACCTGGGTACGTGATGTGAGTTTTCTCCGCCGGAGACCCCATACGCAGAGTTGCTCACTCTTGGGAGGTTGTACACTCTTGATGGTATTATTTACTATTGCCATAACTCCTACTTTGAAGTATGTGCTGGCTGTTGCTCACAGCCTCTTCTACAGGTAGACCCCCTCTAATTCGAATACGGTATAATTTGAATATTCTCTGTACATGTAATTCGAAGTTGCGGCCTGGTAGTTTGAGGTTCGAATTAAAGGGAGTCTACCTGTACATATTTTTGTTCGCCTTTGATTATTACCGCTAGATTCTTGCTTTTCACCACAATATATTCTGTGTTCGTTGGAGAATTCCTTTGTGACGTAGTGTGTCACGAAGCGTGAGTGCACAGATCACTTATTCTCTAGTGTCTTTGTGTTTCTTGTTTTCTCTTGTCTAGTACGGACGGAGCTGATGATGAACAGGAGAAGGGAGGACTACTTGGCGAAAGGTATGTTGCTACTCATCTGCAGCCTGTTGCATTCCTCACAGGCCTTTCCCTCATACACACTGCCTTGCGTTCTATTCGGCTGTGTAGCTGGTTATCGACTGTCCAGGATAGATTTCAACTTCTGGAAAAAGCCTCTCTCTCTATCTCTCTGTCTGTTGGTGCCTCTGTCTGTCTGTCTGTCTGTCTGTCTGTCTGTCTGTCTCTCTCTGTCTCTCTCTGTCTCTCTCTCTCTTCTCTCTCTCTCTCTCTCTCTCTCTCTCTCTCTCTCTCTCTCTCTCTCTCTCTCTCTCTCTCTCTCTCTCTCTCTCTCTCTCTGTCTCTCTCTCTTTCTCTCTCTCTTTCTCTCTCTTTCTCTCTCTCTCTCTCTTTCTCTCTCTCTCTCTCTCTGTCTCTCTCTCTCTCTCTCTCTCTCTCGCTCTCTGTCTCTCTCTCTCTGTCTCTCTCTCTCTCTCTCTCTCTCTCTCTCTCTCTCTCTCTCTCTCTCTCTCTCTCTCTCTCTCTCTCTCCTCTCTCTCTCTCTCTCTCTCTGTCTCTCTCTCTGTCTCTCTCTGTCTCTCTCTCTCTCTCTCTCTCTCTCTCTGTCTCTCTCTCTCTCTGTCTCTCTCTGTCTCTCTCTGTCTCTCTCTCTTGTTTTCTATCCCTATGTGAGTAAACATAATATGGCTGTTGATAATTTGATATCATCATTGTATGATGTCAAGTCAGTGGGAAAGTGTGAGCTCTAGTGTGGGGATTGAGCACTTTCCTCTCGTTGTATAATGCTACATTTCATTCTTAAGTTTGGATATGTTCTTTGCTTTGCTTTGCTCAGTGGCCAAGCGCTGAAACCGGGTGATCGTGGATTTGTGGGCCGTGCCCGTGTGCCAAAAGCATCCAACAAGGACTATATTGTACGTCCAAAGTGGAATGTGGACAAGGAGGCGAGTCGCAAGGTAAGCCCTTGTCAAGTTGGTTGTTACCTACAGTCCATTTATTAAAAAAAATGGGCCCTTGCTCTGGCGAGCTCCCGTATTTGGCGACTTTTCGTGATTTTATGGTACACGGCTACGGTGCCGCGAAATTTGAAAAAGGGTCCGAAAAAGGTACCTCGTCTAGGGTTCAAACCGCACAATGTACTGTTGTACACAGGGGCGTCGGAACCGGTGCGGCAGATCCGGCCAAAGCCGCACCAATAATTTCATCTTTTGACTTTTGGTTGATAAATATGGTGGTAAAGACACACCTGGCAATATGGCGGTAAACACACGGCCGCCCACACACGCTCTCTTGGCTGCAAAGTTCTGGCACAGAGCTCTCCTTCTCACCACCACCACCATCAGTTCGCGCCTGGCGCCTAGTCGATGCATGGTTGGCGGTATCCGACATAGCAGGCTGGTACATCAAGTAGCGCATGGCACATAGAACATGACACAGCAACGACAGCTCGATTGCGACGTACGTTTCGTCCCCGCTGGACTCATCAGGTAATCTTCTTCTTGGATGTCTTCATACGGAGCTTGACTCGGGAGAATGAAGTGGAAGTCCTGTTCTTGCTATGGCTTGCTTTTTTTTCTTTTTCTTTTTTTTGGAGAAATAGACTTCAGAAACATAAGAATTTGAAGAGGATTCCGTAATTCTAAAAAATCCATTGTGATCGAAAGCGGGAAGTCCATCTTCTTATGAATGGACTGTGCACGCCAACTCTCTGCAAGCTGATAGCATCATAATGGACGGTTTTGTTCAATATTTTCCATCACTGGCCAGCACAGTTCTATGGCAGGCCGCTTCACGGGGAGTTGAGCCAAGCCCAACTTCTTCCTAGATAAGCGACGAGCGACACACATCACTTTCTGAATTGGTAGGTGCTCGTGACTCGAGAGCTCCAGGCCACATGCAGTTTGGGACTGTGCGTGGACTGCAGGGATATTGCTGCAATGATCCGTGCATTGTCCATCGGTTTTCGTGACCGACCCTTCACACGATGCGAAGCAGAATATCAATCGGCACCCATAGCGGCCGTCATGATTTCCCTTCGGGAACGGACACGATAATTTACTTTTTACTTTTTTTTACCCATAGCATCACAGAAGCGGTATTGTGCATAGCATTTTAGAAGTTAGTGTTTACCAGTTCTCATCATTTTCTGACTTTTCACTTCTAAACACTTTTTAGTACTTGATCAACGCACCTGTGTGTGGGTGTGGGTGTGTGTGCGTGCGTGCGTGTGTATGGGTGTTTGTGTGTGTCTGTCTGTCTAGGGCAAGAAAGAGCCTGATCGGTTTGAGAAGCAGCAGTTGAAGCATAAACAAGGCAAGCAATTGAACAAGACCAGACGTGCTGCCGCCGTCAGTCTCGTTGGCACAAAGATGTCACTGTAATCAAAACAATACTCAGAGCAGCCCATCCGCATCTTCTGTACAGCAAAGTAGCAGATAGATTGCCATCAAGAACACTGGTCACGGTATGTTGTACAAGGGTCCTTGCAAGTGGATATATTATAAATAGGTGTGTTGTATTAGTACTTCCTTGCTTGCTTCTTGTTTATCTCTATTTAAGTATAGTCTGATGTTGTTAGGTTTTCACCCGTTATGCTCCCAGTTTATGTTGGTTTTTCGCGTCCTGTACTTGATCATTGCATATCTGTATGTAGGTGTGCTGTGTGTGTGTGTGTGTGTGTGTGCGTGTGTGCGTGTGTGTGTGCGTGCGTGTGAACGTGTTTATGTGTTTATACATACTGTACGTGCAAGCGCGGATGTCACACTGATTATAGTGTGGCAGTCTCGTGTCTGTATGCTCTACATGAGTAAATACCGTGACCTGCCACTACGCTGTTTTTTATTGTTTTCATCACCTTTCCCATTCTCGCAGCAGAGCGAGCTGAATGCAGGCTTTCACTCATCCATCCATCCTAAACTTACATCATTTTCTCCTATTTTTCAAGTATCCTGTGAATCAGTATGTTTGTGAGCAGCAGATGAAACTACCGTGTTGAACAGCGTTCACACACAAACTCTTACAACAAGTCAGTAAGCACAGTGTTGTTGTGCTTGATGCTTGATACAGTTGTTATGCATTGCAGCTGAATGGTCTTTGTTGTCAGCTTGTCCTATCCTTGCTGTGAATGGTCTTGGTTCTCAGCTTGTCCTAGCCTTGCTGTTTGTTTTTTTGTTTTGTTTTTGTTTTACAAAAAAACCACACCATTGGACGGCACAAAGCAGCAAGGCAGCGATGAGACATATGGAATGGCAGGAGTGGGGGAGAGGCAGGGGCAGCTTGACCGACCATAGGGTCTCGACTTCATTGCAACCCAAGAGCTCCACAAAAACAAAAAAATACAGAAAATACGCAGGGGGGGGGGTAGATAACTGGGGATTACGGGGAAAAGTATGCACGATAAAAAGTTATCAGAGTCAACAAAGTGAATGGAGGAGGGAACGGAGTTAGAGCTTTTTTTCGCTGTGAATGGTCTTTGTTCTCAGTTTATCCTAGTCTTGCTGTGAATGGTCTTGGTTCTCAGCTTGTCCTAGTCGAGTCTTGCTGCTCTAGTTTTTCTTGTACCATTGCGCAGCCACAGTTGCCATGGTTACCTGCTGTGCACCGACGCGACCTGAACCGACCCGTGTTTACCTGACCTCAGTGACCTGTGCCAAGGGTTTATTCGGCCAGGTGAAGTGGATGTACAATGCTAGCTACTGCTCGATGAAATAATAATTCGGTTGCGTGATTCAAGTCAATGCCCTGCACCTGTGCGCAGCACAGTGTTCACACAGGTCTGGTCTGGCGCTGCATAGCACCCTGTACTGGCATGTACAGTACTACTACTAGGACATGTACTGCTCACTGAAGTACAGGGAGTCACTTTTAAAAGTCTTTGCGCCGTTCACCAGTGCACATCCCAGTGTTCGCAGGTCTAGGGCTGCACAATGCCTGGGAGGCTGGGACGTACGTGACTTGCATGATTGGATTTCTTTGAGCAGCTAAGCACTGTACTTGATTCACGTGATTGAATTCCATACATGTATATTATAATTAGGGCTCAAACGGTTAGTCCGATTAACCGGTTGCAGACCGGTTACGAAGAATTAACGGTTAACCTATAAAGATAACGGTTAATACGCAGTAACTTTTCAGTCAATTTTTCAAGTATCAGGTCGTTGCAAAGTATGCAGGCTGTCGCACGCGTACGCAATTTCTGGGCTGTCAACTCGGTCATATCTGGTCTCTTCGTGTGAGAGTATGTATGAATGAGCATGCAAGAGAATATACATGTGTGCGTTGTACTGAATAGGGTACATTTTTTGAAGAAGTATAGTCAAATATACGGTTAAAAAAGAGTCCGCAGGATTGCCGTGGCTTATAGGTTATAACCGTTAAGCCGACCGTTAGCTTAGCAGTTAACCGTTGGGGGTAAAACCGTGACCGTTTGAGCCCTAATTATAATGTTGGCCTATTGTCGGTAGGGTGACCAGACAGACTGTCTGCTAATGACTCGGATGGTGACAGAAAGTATCAGACTGGGTAGGTTTGCATGCAATAGGCTGGCTACAGCCGACTGCCCTTTCAAAATTATTTTATATGTTACAAACAGGGAGTCCAAAATTACCGGTATTTTACGACTCCCTGGTTAAAAGCCAAAATGAATGAGCACACATCAACACTGTATGAGTGAATCGGGAATATTTTGTATGCCTAGGAGGCGCAAAACTTGAATCATTTTAAATAGGAGAGTCTTCGGGTAGTAGGGTACGGGTGTTACACGTAATAAGAGCGGGTAGTAGGGTAGCAGTTTGCTCCTGAATATTTTGCATGTGAGTAAGTTTTAGGTGGAATGTACGGAATTTTTTGCATACAACATTTTTGGCAAATGGAACCTTTTCACTCACCGATGCATAGAGCTCAATTCTGAGCAATATGCGAGCTGTTTATACTGTAGTGTCGCGGCGTATAAAAGCATGACTCGAACAGAAGCCGATTTTACGAAGCGTTCCATGACACAGAAGCATGATTTGAATAAAAGCATGCATGTATCATGTACTTGCACACTACACACAGGTGCGTGACAATGTGCACTGCACAGTGTAAACTGAAGATGTTGACGTAGAAGCATGTTTCGAATGTAAGCATAACTTGAATAGAAGCATGGCTTGAACCCCGGCTTATACGGCCGTACGCACCTGCTATTATACGCGACATTACAGTATTCATTATATTCCTGATTTCCAGTATGGGTAACAAATAGCCAACGAAAGTCAAAATGGTTGGCTGGGGCTCCGATACGAGTGTGACAGCGTTACAAATATTGCCGTGAGCTGGGGACAACAGCATCTGCGCAAGAGCCAGAGAACGAGGGACACTGCAAGCCAGAGAAAAATATAATTTTACGCATGTGCAAAATGTAGATGCACGCATGCTGCTAGAGTGTAGGCACATGCCTTGGATTCAGCTTGGGGAGCTGCACAGTGTTAGCAAGCATTGATCATATCAATATCTGGTAGTTATGCATGAACACATGTGTAGGCAGGTACTGGTACATACATACATGACTGTGTGAAAAGTCAAGTCTCAACTTTCTTCAATATGAACAAATAACGGTGATGATCACAAAAGTGGAATGGATGGGTGGATGGGTGAGTGTGTGGGTTGAGAAAGAAATCCACTGCCAGTGCAGACGCAACAAGAACGGATACCAAGGACAGTGGACTTCGAATACTTGCAGTGAGTGCGTAGGAGACTTTGTTTGGCAATGAAGCATACACCGTATGATCTAACCTTCAGTAAAACTGATACTGTAGTAGACTGGACTAGACAGTACATGTAGTTCAGTTGATCATTATACATACTAACACAACACTGTGTGTGTCATAGACAATCTGTATACATCATGTCTATACAAGTGATGTCACAGTGTTGTGATCAATGACAGGTAGTGTGCTGTTGGAGTATCTCTTACTGCAGTAGCTGCTGGAAATGATTCCTGTCCAGTGCTGGTCACTTTCACCAATCTCAACTGCTAAACACTATCCAGTAGAGACCTTCAGAAGCTCAGCTAGCCCTGTAGAGTGTACAACGGGGGAATCGCATGTACACACACAAACACACACACACACATGCATGTGCACACATACGCAGAACACACGTACATGTCGACACATACACACAAACACACATGCATGCATGCAGATGCGCACACAGCGGAAGGAGTCCTACAAAAGCGACTCCATTGGTTATTGCCCCACCCAACAGCCACCACACCTTGCAATACCCCAACTCTGGCTGGACTGGATAATTATGATCTCACTCACAACACCGCAGTAAGCGGGCCGGTGAGACCAAGTTGAAGAAAGAGGTTGGCATGAGAGGATCCGCGCCCAGAGTTCCACTTGCATGTACCCCTGCCCCAGTGAAGTTAATGCTTGATACTAGTGTGGGCTGCACATTGCAAACTCAGATAATAGAGAGTATATGGTGCTGGAGCAGGAACGTTCTTCTGTGAGTGCACCCACCAACCAAACTCAATGGTACAAGCACAAAATCACCCACTCTTGAAGATGCACATTATATGTACACGCACACACACACACACACACACACACACACACACACACACACACACACACACACACACACACACACACACACACACACACACACACACACACACACACACACACACACACACACACACACACACACACACACACACACACACACACGTGTACGCACGCACACACACACAGAAACTTGCACACAGACACCATGCACACACACACACACACACACACACACACACACACACACACACACACACACACACACACACACACACACACACACACACACACGTGTACACACACACACGCATGTGCACACGCAGGCAACTGTCCAATGGAGCTATTGCCACAGGGTCACATGGAACCATGGTCCCATAATTGGCAATGCAGACATAGGCGATTCGAACAAACCATGTCGTGACGCAGCCAAAACGGAAGATCTGGTGCAAGTACCACCATGTAAGCCTGCCCCTTCCACAGACACAGCTGTGGTTCTCTTGTACCACTTTTAAAGTACATAAACTGATATGCAGTACACAGCACACAGTACACGGCACACAGTACACGGCACACAGCACACAGTACACAGCACACAGTACACGGCACACAGTACACGGCACACAGCACACAGCACACAGCACACAGCACACGGCACACAGCACACAGCACACGGCACACAGCACACAGCACACAGCACACAGCACACAGCACACAGTACACGGCACACAGCACACAGCACACAGCACACAGCACACAGCACACGGCACACAGCACACAGCACACAGCACACAGCACACAGCACGCGCAGTAAACACTCACTCACGTGAGCCGAAGACAGCACTCTTAACTTACTGCAGTCTGCGACGTCTGAGTGCTGCCAGCATAGCACAGTGTTGGTTGTGTTCACTTTGGTGTTCATCAGTTTGACGATGTTTGCCACACAGGTAAGCCATGCCACAACGAGGACATGCTGTGATGTTGTCCAGGTCATAGCAGACAAAACATGCTGCTACACGTGGACACCATTCCCGCAGTGCAATGTGGTGATCAGTGCTGACTTGACCTCTCTTGGATTGATGATGCAGGGCAGCAATGAGAGAGATGTATAGTAGAGGACTGTCCCCAGTTGTTGGTGGTAAGTACACAATTCCAGACACTGAGAGACCAGTTGCACAATTGCTCGGCAGGTAAGCACTGAGATCATTAACCAATGACTTCAATGCTGGGAAGAGTTTGGAAATATCGACAGTTGCAAAGACTGTATTCTACAGCAAAACACACAACAAAGGACAGTGTAGAGAGAACGTAACTGAAGCCCATACAATCGAAATAGACTACACATCGCACAATAAATACAAATCAGGCTGATATAGCAGAAAGCAACGCGTTCCATTTCCATAGTTACCATGTCTTAGAAGTTTTCACCTTCTCCTGTGTGTTCAGCAAGTAATGAGGTTCAGTGAGACAGACACTATACCGTAGATCATTACTGAGTACACTGGTTTGCAGTACACTGGGTTCTTTCAGAATGGAGTGTGGAGTGTGCATGAAAACTAGGGTAAGGATAACGCTGCACTACCAGCTTACCTCAAACGTCTGCAGTACTCTAGCCATCAGTATACAAGACTGCATCACTTCCACATCAGGTATCTTGTTCTGGCTACAGTTGTTAATCAGTGCTGTTGTGTGATCTGCTGGATTTGAGCCATTACACCATCTCCTGACATAGTCCATCACAATGTTGTAGGGACGCTGTGCTGGTAGAGTGAGACCCGTTGGAGTTGTGTGTGCCCTTCCATTAACTACCAAGGAACTGTACTGGATGTTGTACATATAATCCAAGTACATGTCCAGTAGTGTGGACACTGTGTCATCATCCATGCAGTACAGGTAGTGTTGTATCCGAAGAGCAGACACAGTGGTATAGTCGTCATTGACATTGAGCGAGCGCCTGACAGCAGTTGGTACATGTTTCCACTCGCACCGTGGTATACCCAGTGTTGTAATCAATGATGGTGAAATAATCCACTCACTGCTACAGGAACCTGACATGACCTTGCCCAGGATCACAACAATGCATTGTAGCAGAAAGTTGTACATTCCAGCACATGAAAGGACTGCACCATCCTGTGATAGGAAGTATGATGAGATTACTCTCTCAGCAAGGTCTTCTACCACCTGTACATTGGGTATATCCTTGTTTAGCAGAGTGGAACAATACAGTTGAATGAGTTTCAGGGCACATTCAGTGACACCTGTTGCAAGACCAATTCCCAGTGTTGTTGTAACACGCTGGTACACCACCTGAAGACGGGATAGTGTTTCCTGGCTGAGCTCAGCTTGTCCTTCCACGCTGCCCATGGTCCGAGATATGTGTGTTCTGCATGACTCCAATGAAAGTTGGATCAAAATCAGCTGCAGCTGTGATTGCTCTCCTGTCGGTTCCTTGTTGCATTTCTGAAGAAGTGTTTGGGCTTTGAGCTCCAAATCGTCAAAATTGGTGTCAGAACCCGCTGCTTTGCCTGCACTGGTAAACCTACACAAGACCGAGGCACAAAGACCGTCAACTTGAACGGAGAGCGGTGCATTGTCCAATCTTTGAAACCTTTCAGCAAACGCTGCAGCAACTGTTGATTTCCCAAACAAAGCTGCAAACAAACCAATACACGTTGCTAATCTAGAGAAAGGAAGAAGTTCATCATCAGAGAGCAGATCAACAACCGACAACGCATTCTTGATGTTCACGGCTTCCTGAAGCAGTTGATGACTCCAATACATTGCTTTCTCTGCACCACAACCTCTACGATGATCAACATCATTCACAAAGCCAAGGAAATGCTTGCACATTCGCTGTTGGTACATGCGTTGCTTGTCTTCAGGGCATTTGTAACGGCCAAACTCGGCGACGAATGGTTGCAAAGAGTAGCGTTTCAAATACGCATTGTAATCCAGGAAACAAATCTTGATCAAAGGATCAAAACGTACAAGATGAACCACATTGGCATCAGTTGCAGGCAAACCCACCATCACACAAGCGCAATCAGATGTGAACGATGAACGCAGCTGAGAGAGAGCATGGAATGATTCCTTGTCATCCTGCTGTAATGTGTTGTATGCTAATTCCAACAGCTTCAGGATTCGATGATTCGGTTTCAGACCCGAGTGACGATCGTCGTTGAACACATCTAGACCAAGTTCCTGAAATAGCGATAACAACATGGTTGGAGTTTTTCGGCCACCTTGTAGAAGACCAGCTGTAATGCGTACAGCAAGTGGAACATTTCCACAATGATCCACTAACCTCCGTGCATCTTCAATGCTCACACTACCTTCAACACATAGACCACGGAGAAGACCAACAGCACAAACCTTTGTCAGACCAACAAGACGGTGTTGTTGTAGTTTAAACTGGGCAGCGTGTAGGTCAAAGTAAACACGACTTGTCAGTAGGATATGAACGTTGTGTTGTAGTCCTAGTAGTCGTTGGATGACATCTTGTAGTTGGAAATCTTTATCAGCACCAGCCTGGATAGCATCCTCGGCATTGTCTAGGATACATAACATGTGATGTTTGCCACCATCATCATCCATGGCATCAGTTGATTTCGTTGCTTTGCCAGTAGTTCCAGATAAAGCCGGGTTTGTTTCGAGTCGGTTTTGAATCATTGCCTGGACAGCGTCAACACCAGCTACACCGCGTAAGTCAAAGAACTCCACACGACAACCAGCATTGCGACATACATGTCCAACGGCAATGGCTACGGACGTCTTACCAAAACCAGGTGGTGCCACAAGACTCTTCACTCGTGTAGATGATGACTTGGACTTTGTTGTGAGAATGTTGTGACTGATCTTTGTAACAATGTCATCCCTGCCAGTGAAGTGTTCGTCCAGGTCTGGTAGAGATGAGTTGCTTGAATGTGATGATGTTTTTGAAACCTGAGCTGTAGTTGGTCTAGTACTCCTTGATGTACCCATACTAGTTGCACTGGTTGTTGCTAAAGCTGATGTTGCTTGTTTGTGTGTTGCTGTATGTCTGCTGGAGGACAGCTGTTGATCAGTCTCACTACCTCCCTCTGTGTAGACTGATTGTTGCGTTTTCTGTTGTCCAGGTATCATCATGGTAGCATCTATAAAGACAAAAAGTACAGAACAGAACTAAAGTGAGTGTAGAGTCTGTACGAGTATAAATCTATTGCAAATGGTGACACTCTCTTTCAAAGAGGATGTACAGCCTAAAATCGAAATTTGCAACTTGTAGTGTTCTGGCGAACAAACTTATAATAATGTAAGTAATAGTGGTATTAACCCGACTGCTGCATGGACAATAAGTGCTGCGAATAGTGATCATGCACCTTGGCCTGAGTAGCTCGCTTGGCTAATTGAAAGTCAGCCCATCTGTGCCACGTTATATTGCTAGTACATGTACCACCCCAGTCACAGAGCACAAGTTGGTTGAGTTTGGCTGTCAGGAGGCCACGGCTGTCCCATGCATGCGACGCGCGATTATTCAATATGGCCGCCAAATTTTAATCTTTTTCATTTTTTTACGCGACCTGGCCTAGTCGTATGTTTGCAATTTCGCTCGACTTCCATCTCAAACGGGCAAGGTCAACCGAAACCACGGGTGTTTGCCAGGTCATTCGATAGAGTTTAGACCTTGGACTGGCCTTGCCTTCGATTGTGCCGCCGCTCGAGCGATCTTCTTGGGTTACCCACGCGCTACGCATGGTTTCTTTCTCGACGTGGGTGCAATTATTCTTGGAACGTCGCTCGATTTCAAGGGCTTGCCAACCTCGTCAGCGAATTTTCTCCGCCTCGCAGGCAATTTTTTAGTATACCTCGATGTCCTAGCCTTTTGATTTCGTGCATTCCTCAGCTTGACGTGCATCACTGTAGCTTTTCGTGGCCATTTTAGAGACGTTATTTTGTTCAGAAATGGAGGCTCATGTTAGCATCCTGTCGTCGTGTTGTCGTATTGGAGGGGAGAAATTCGCCTCAAGGAGTGGACGGTCGAAGTATCGTGTGGCAGATCATACTGAATCCATTTTGGCAGTGTTTCATCTCAATGTGGATGAAACCGAATACACCCTGAACATTTTTGCCACACTTGCAAATTGGCCATGGAATGCACTGCTACTGCTAGGGGCCCAAAATTCTCTGGAGCTCCAGAGGTGGATGTACACTGCTCAAAGACTGGGAGCCACACAGTGGGACAAACTGTTTGAAATGCAAGCCTTCCAAGACTGGCAGGAAGTCCAAATGCAAAACACAAACGCAAGACAAACTTGCGGCATGGGAGAAAACGCGGGCGATCGTCCGCAAGCACGAGCACATGCACGCCGTCACCACTGACAGCAGCATCACCAACAAAACCTCGCCCCACCACACCAGTACCTGATCACTGGATAGTTTAGTCCGTTTGGTTTACAAATTCAAAAAAGGCAGACAAAATAAAACTAAAAACACGAGAGTCGCATCGACCAAATCTGATGAGCAGCGGCACGTCACACCTGCATACCAAGCTTAGTAATAGTAGTAGTATTTCTCTAGGGCTTAGTGGGTAAATCTCTGCATCCAGAACAGTTCAGATAGGAATGTAATAACACACACACACAATGTCCACTATGTCACAATGTGGAAGGGAGAGAAGTGTTTGCAGCTGGCTGGTAGACGTTCAGCCGTGCATGCATTGGCAAATGGCTAGAGCAGACGGCCCGCTGCCCTTAAAGGGGAAGTATACCCTAAAATCAAATTTTCACCAGTTGTAGTCTTTGGGGTGCTGAGTCGAATGGTCTTGGTCCGAGGAAGCTGCGACGCTCCCTTCCTACTTGAATCCCAATCGAACTCGCGCACTTCCACCGAAACTGGGTGACTGCGCCCTACTAGATGGGGATTTGTATGCAAAATGTCACTAAAAGCGCCATTTCGTTCTTATAAAAGCACGGATGACCGCGATTGGCCCATATGTTGTAGTCTTTTGGACGCTGAGTCGACTGGTTTTGGTCCGAAAAGGCTGCGATGCAGCGTTCCTCCTTTATTCCCAATCGAACATGGTTGAACAAGCGGTCACGTGCTCCTGGGTGCCCAAATCACCTGGTCACCGCGCCAGCAGGCGACAACTTTCACACCAAGGTTCAACTCGAGTTCAACTCGAGTGACAGGACTGCACCCAAAAAAGGTCAAACAGGCTAGTAAGTTGTACCCTGCAGGCACGGTGACCAGGTGACTGGTGTACGCAGGAGCACGTGACCGCTTGTTCAACCATGTTCGATTGGGAATAAAGGAGGAACGCTGCATCGCAGCCTTTTCGGACCAAAACCAATCGACTCAGCGTCCAAAAGAGTACAACATATGGGCCAATCGCGGTCATCCGTGCTTTTATAAGAACGAAATGGCGCTTTTAGTGACATTTTGCATACAAATCCCCATCTAGTAGGGCGCAGTCACCCAGTTTCGGTGGAAGTGCGCGAGTTCGATTGGGATTCAAGTAGGAAGGGAGCGTCGCAGCTTCCTCGGACCAAGACCATTCGACTCAGCACCCAGAAGACTACAACTGGTGAAAATTTGATTTTAGGGTATACTTCCCCTTTAATGTAAGGCACACACGCAAGCGTCAGAGCTACAGCAGCCAAACAGCATAGTTAATGGATTCATGAAAGACTGCACCATACACTGCGCCAGCTCTGGTAGGGTGCCCTATTCGAGCATCGTCACTGGTCGGTGACGCTTTACAGGCCTCACCATCAAAGATGCGAGGTGATGCTGCTTATCGACTCGCTGGCATGACAGTCACAAGCATAACTAACGAAGGATGGCTGGAAGTCAAAACCAGCTGTCGATGTAGATTCCAGGTATACCAAAGAATTACTGACGCCAGCACTTTATCCGATGCCCCATCAGCGTCAACTGTACGCCGATGGTCACAGGACCGTGACAGCCTTTCGATCGGTCTATGGTCGGGAGACGGGGCTGCAAGCCCAAAGCAGCGGGTATATAGTGTTCGTCACCAGCTGAGCAAGAGAGCTTGCTGAGATATTTAGGTGTGCACTGTTCAGCAACCAGTCCCAATATAGGTTTGTCCATGAAGGCTGGTGATCCTCAGCTATCATACAACAAATTCCTACTCGCCGCGCATATGGCTTGTGAAACAGCAGCAGAAACTGCACTGCCTTGACAAACGCACCAGTTACCATGATGGAGCAGATATGCCCAGCCCTGGAAGCCAACACCAAATCTCCAATCGCTAGTACAAGTAGCTCTTCACTAAATCATGCCTAGTGCTTGCAGTGATATTTTCAGCAAGAGCGCTGCAATTACTGCTGAGGAGATATATTGCGTCCTTGAAGTTGAAGGCGCTCATCAAAGATTTCTTGCCATCAATTCTTGGCCTTATGCAGGTACGAGGTGGTCTCCCGTGGCATTGGCCATATTACCCCGAGCTGCACTTGCTCAAGGAGCACGTTGTTTCGCTCACGATGGAAGTCCTTCGTGTTGGAGTAGGCTTGCTGAGAGAACAGAGCGCTGAATCCATCCACGTCCACAACTACGAATAATTTACAAAAACATTCCTACTGCAGATCAGCGCTTGAAAACGGCGATCCAAATCAGCGATGTTGGGCTTCTCCATTCAAAAGAGAGCCTTCCTAACGAAGCTCATGTGACACTACATAGTCTCTCAAGCACTCTACTTCAGGTCTTCTTCTCTCCACTCCATTATCATTTTTCGATCTTCACTCGGTCGACGTGATGGTAGTAGCTATGTAAATAATTATGATGGATTCCTCCCGATCCTCGTCGCGGCCAAAATTTGCTCGGTGTTTGTCTAATTTCTCAAACTGACAGGGTTTACAAGAGAAATGTACCTAATTTTGTGTGATTGATGCAAATATATCGGAATATGTCCGACTTCATAAATCCGTGCGGTAAACCGCATGAAAGGACGCCATGTCATTAGTTGGTGCACATGAAGTCACCGTGAGGCCAGCGCAAGGTATCCGGGGGGCAGGTCTGATTCCAGCGAGGGGCAATGTGGTACCCCGCAGCACAAGGGTAGCGTGATACCCTACGCCAACGTGCACGCTGCATGAGTAGTGTGATACTCGCCTAGCGCTTTTGCTGTTGCCTAGCAACGCGTTTCTGTCTTTCCTGGGCCCCAAATGCATGCTGGGTGGCCCTGCGCATGACTGCACATTGTCATAGCAACCTTGAAAACCTCAAGCCGGTTACCAACAAGCTAGGAATCAGACCAAGCCGCCAAATGCCCCCGCCGGCCACCGGCGCTTCATTGCAATTGAATTTTGTCAAGAATAGTGAGCAAGGACAGATCAAATTATGCAAATACATGTACATGTAGCTTGGAGTACCATCATGCTGAGTGGCACTCATTGTGAGACATAGGATAGTGTAGAGCGGTAATAAATTCAGGGGGTGTGGGTGGGAGGGAGAAATTGCAAAACAGTTGGATGCGCGCAGCAGCACAGCTAGCAAGAGAAATAAGCCGTGGGTGGGTTTGTTCCTATTTTTGATGTCTGTGGCCATCCGTTGGCCCAACGGAATTCGTGTGTACGGCTTTTGTTTGTGCTGGCAGCTCGCGCCCGGCGTTTGTTTGTGCTGCCAGCTCGGGCCCGGTGCGCGAGCGAAACCGAACTTTGAAAAGGCTTTCGCTGTTTAGTACTATTGACTGGTTTTCATACAATGCCTATTGATGTCTGGAGACATGCTGTCTAGCCTTCCCCTGGTACCCATTACGCAGGGCTTTGTTGATTCTTGAAGTTCGTACCGTGAACTGCCAAAGGGAAATGTTTGAATGGTGCTGGGGCGGGTGCGACATTACGGTGTCCCTGCAGCCGGCCTAACCGTGTTTGTCGCCACAACCGATTTTATGGTCACTATGTGCAATGGTGTTAGTACAAGGAAGCTCAGATGCTCCCTTCTTTCCACATTCCCAATTGAGCTCGCGTACTTCAAATATGGATGGATGTGCTATATTTATAAGTACCAGTATCAGTCCTGGAGCCTGCTCTTGAGGGGTGGTCTGACCACAGGTCTCTTGAGGGGTGGTCTGACCCCAGGTCTCTTGAGGAGTGGTCTGACCCCAGGTCTCTTGAGGGGTGGTCTGACCCCAGGTCTCTTGAGGGGTGGTCTGACCCCAGGTCTCTTGAGGGGTGGTCTGACCCCAGTTCTCTTGAGGGGTGGTCTGACCCCAGGTCTCTTGAGAGGTGGTCTGACCCCAGGTCTCTTGAGGGGTGGTCTGACCCCAGGTCTCTTGAGGGGTGGTCTGACCCCAGGTCTCTTGAGGGGTGGTCTGACCCCAGTTCTCTTGAGGGGTGGTCTGACCCCAGGTCTCTTGAGAGGTGGTCTGACCCCAGTTCTCTTGAGGGGTGGTCTGACCCCAGTTCTCTTGAGGGGTGGTCTGACCCCAGGTCTCTTGAGGGGAGGTCTGACCCCAGGTCTCTTGAGGGGTGGTCTGACCCCAGGTCTCTTGAGGGGTGGTCTGATCCCAGGTCTTTTGAGGGGTGGTCTGACCTCAGGTCGGCTAAACGGCCGATCATTTCCCCGTGCATGCCCAGTTTTCAATGTCCTGGGAGCATGTCTCTATAATGCTTTCCAATACACGTACATCATATATATCTGTTTCAGCAACACACTCAGCCTCTAGCAACAGATATGCAGCTAGCACAGTAGTCATCACTGGACAAGAACAACATCTTAGGAGGGATGGGAGTATAACGAGGAGTGCATGAGTATAGCCTAGCATTAGAACTCCCAGATAATCAATTGCACACCGAGTATTCTATGAGAGTTGGAATTGGTGAAAACTGGTCTGGCTATGGCCGCACCAGCCATACCAGTGGTGCCGGTCCTGAGTAGATAGGAATTTTCACGGAACATTTCACAGCGGCCCCTCATTCGTATATGAACATGGACGAAGAACCTGTCGTTTTCCGAATGCCTAGTCGAACGATCTTAACGTTAGTCTGAGGAGACTGCAAAACACCGCTCAACCATTACGTCCAAGCAAACACAATCCCGTAGTGTACATCAGTCGCCGTAACAGTGCAGTGTAGTGCAGTGCAGTGTAGTGTAGTGTAGTGCAGTGCAGTGCAGTGCAGTGTAGTGCAGTGCAGTGCAGTGCAGTGAAGTGTAGTGTAGTGTAGTGTGGTGTGGTGTGGTGTGGTGTGGTGTGGTGTAGTGTAGTGTAGTGCAGTGCAGTGCAGTGGAGTGTAGTGTAGTGTAGTGTAGTGCAGTGCAGTGTAGTGTAGTGCAGTGGAGTGCAGTGCAGTGCAGTGTAGTGTAGTGCAGTGCAGTGCAGTGGAGTGCAGTGCAGTGCAGTGCAGTGCAGTGCAGTGCAGTGTAGTGCAGTGCAGTGCAGTGCAGTGCAGTGTAGTGCAGTGGGGTGTGGTGTGGTGTGGTGTAGTGTAGTGTAGTGTAGTGCAGTGCAGTGCAGTGCAGTGTAGTGTAGTGTAGTGTAGTGTAGTGCAGTGTAGTGTAGTGTAGTGTAGTGTAGTGTAGTGTAGTGTAGTGTAGTGTAGTGTAGTGCAGTGCAGTGTAGTGTAGTGTAGTGTAGTGCAGTGTAGTGTAGTGTAGTGTAGTGTGGTGTGGTGTAATGTAGTGTAGTGTAGTGCAGTGCAGTGCAGTGCAGTGCAGTGTAGTGTAGTGCAGTGTAGTGTAGTGCATTGCAGTGCAGTGTAGTGTAGTGTAGTGTAGTGTAGTGTAGTGCAGTGTAGTGTAGTGCAGTGCAGTGTAGTGTAGTGTAGTGTAGTGTAGTGTAGTGTAGTGTAGTGTAGTGTAGTGTAGTGTAGTGTAGTGTAGTGCAGTGTAGTGTAGTGTAGTGTAGTGTAGTGCATTTTGCACGCATGTACCTGTGTACACGTGAACCTGTGAATATTCGAGAGCGGTGATCGAGAGCGGTGATCAAGAGCGGTGATCGAGAGCGGTGATCGAGAGCGGTGATCGAGAGCGGTGATCGAGAGCGGTGATCGAGAGCGGTGATCGAGAGCGGTGATCGAGAGCGGTGATCGAGAGCGGTGATCGAGAGCGGTGATCGAGAGCGGTGATCGAGAGCGGTGATCGAGAGCGGTGATCGAGAGCGGTGATCGAGAGCGGTGATTGAGAGTGGTGATCTGGTGGCACAGCATCCCACATATATGTACCTTTGCCATGACCTGCCTCAGACTGGAGTAGCAGGCGTCTGCCTCCGATGGGTGGTCGAGCGTTGAAGGCTCGGAGCATAGCAACAAACCACCACTATCAGGCTGCTATCAGAATGCGGGCCTGCTCTCATGCGGACAACCTCCAAGCGGTCGGAAATAAATTTGTACGATCTCATATTTGTCGCAAGTTGCTTGCTTACAAGAACTGCAACTCCTGGGCAATGAGGCGGGCCATCAGAGCTGTACAGAGTATTGCCATGCTCCAGAACTTCGACTCTACAGCCGCTTATGCACATCTCCGTCACACCAAGCACGTCAAGTTTGTAGTCTTCAAGGTCGAGAATAATTGATGTTTTCTTGCTATTGCTTCGCAGCAAGCGCACTTTTTCGCTAGCCTGCATACCGGTCCTCGTCGTCAAAGGACTCTTTCCTGCATCATTCATTAATTCACCCCCAAACAGTTGTCTGGTTTCAGTTAGAACTCTCGAAGGGGACACAACAACAGCTGACAGCAGTTCAGCCTGGCATACCAAATTTTAGATACAAACCGCACATAGCATGAATCCTGTTTTTGGGCCATTATCCGAAAAGTGATCAAATGGATTTAGCGGGGTTTTGCCTTCCATCTCATTATTTGCATGTATCTACTGACTGTACACAAAGGTCAAAAAGAATGGTTTCACCAATTACAGAAACATACGTTGTAACGCTGCGTTTCATGCACGTAGCTAAATGCTAATGCAATCATCAGACAACTAATGCTTTTGTCGCGGGATAGTTTCTCCGCCTCTGCACGCTCCATGCATAGTTCGCGCCTACTGCGCATGCCCATCCAGTGATGTAATTATTATCACTCGCTCTTCCCATGCATGCCCTGCATTGATAGCTCACACCTCCTCTACATGCCCATGCGTATCCCCCACAATAAGAACAAGCTATCCCGCAACAAAAGCATTAGTTGTCTGATGATTGCCTTAGCATTTACCTACGTGCATGAAACGCAGCGTTACAACGTATGTTTCTGTAATTGGTGAAACCATTCTTTTTGATCTTTGTGGTTACGCTCCGCCCCTGTGGTGTTGAGCACTGTTGAAACCTGGGTATACCCACTTATACTGACTGTACATATAGAACGGGACGAGTGTCCTGACAGTGGATTGACATTGTGGGCCATCACCAGTGGGTGACCTACCACACATGACTGCGCTCGATGGGGCAAGCACCCTTTAATAGTATGACATGTCCGAGATGATCTGTTTCTGTGAACACTCGATCATTGGGTAAAAAAAAAACATTCGAACCGTTGAGGATTCTCCCAACACCAATTTAAACTAGCCAGAGGGGTGTATTGCAATATACGTGAAGGGAAAATTTAACAACCACTTACCGGAGTTGAGGCAGAATTCCTTGATGTTCTCCGCCAATCCAGGCCCAACCGCATTCTGAACGGCTATATGCATGTCTCTGCCGCTCGGTATGTCGTATTTCTCGATCCATAGCTTTGTCATTGCGTCGAACAAACTAAATGGGCTCGTCTCCGGATGGGCTTCATTCGTGATCGCCTGTGGGTATAAGGAATTCACAACACAAACACTTTATGTTACCCAGCACATTCCAGACAAAACAGATTCAAAATAACATTGACATTAGCAAACCATACACATCATGTATATGAGTATATCATGTGTGGATGGAGCTGGAATGAGGGCTTCTCAATTCAAAAAATACCTGCTATTACCCAGAAGCGGGTGTTTTGTGACGACAACCTAGGGTTCTTACCAGGCCACTCAGCACGTAAACGTGCACCATTAAAATAATATTGGTGACAAATCTCTGTCCTGTTTCCTGCATAATTCTTCTCACAAGGCATCATCCTGGTTTATCTAATGAATGGCATGCCCAAGCATTCTGGAGTACATCGTGCAGGTGACGTCTGGAGTTTGCAACGGAAAAGTACCTCCGACTTTGTTTGGACGCAGAGGTTGCTAACCGCCCACGGTCAGTTTCTGGAAGGTACTACCAGAGGTGAAAGAAAGCGATTAATTTTTATAGATCGGGAGGACTTCAAATTCAATGGATCAGTCGGGGAAGTGAACTGCCTGATAGTGTTTGGCACAGTCCTCACTTTCTTTCACCTCTGATCTACTCATCTGAGTGCCTTGTTCCTAGTATATTGTGGGTGGTGGCGTTCCTGCGGATGCGGTAAACTCGCCTCCATCCGAGTCTCACACGAACCGTGAATTTTTCACCTCTGGTAGTATGTTCCAGAAACTGACCGTGGTTGGTGGTGGGTCTGGCATTTTTTCTCTCTTTTCAGGCAGTTCACTTCCCCGACCGATCCTCTGTTTTTGCTTTTATTTTATTTTATCGGAGTAAGTCAGACTACAGCTAGAGTGCTGGTTTGTTTCCAATGGATCAAATCCCCTTTTCCACAAACATTTAGACTTATCAATAGACAAACGCCGAGTACAGCATTGTGGTCTTCAACAATTTTTATGAATAATACTTTTTTAAAGATGTCATGGATTAAGGTGGCAGCCTGGTCCTAAATCCCTAAAAAATCGAATTTGGAAATTCACATCGAGTGCTACATCAGTTGAAAGAGCATGAACAGCTGCAAAGTCTCTGAAATTTTTGTCTCGATCTGACCAGCTGTTCAAGAGTTATGGCCGAAAATGTGCCCTTGCAAGGAAAGATTTTTTTGTTGCGCGCTGTCATTTTGTTGGCAGCACTGTATTTGAATGTGAGCAGACCGTGCGCAACTTGTCGTATCATGGAATCACGCGAAAGTGTGCAGAATTTTGCTCCAAGTCCAAAAAAGTCCAAAAAATCACGTTAAAAAACCACGTATTGGGCTGCACGGCGGCGGGCTTCGTGCAGCCGGACTTTTGCCAGCACCCTCGTGATGTTGCAGATATGTGGCTTGATTATTGTAGTTGACGTTGATTTAGTGACTTTGGCAAGCTTGAGTCGTGTCAAGAAGTCAGGTAGGATTCAGTACCAGGCAGTGGTGGAACGTGACTGGTAGTCTTTGCCGATTTTGGAGGGTATCCTGGATTCGGTTTGAAGCGCTGTGGAAATGGCTTGCTGTGGAGGTCCCAGTACTGGATGTTATATCAAAGGTACGACCTCGTAGCACGCCCTGAACCTAAAAAAATTCAAAAATTGACTTGGGTCTGTGGGAGTCTGTGACAGAACGCCCACTCCTGCCGTTGTGACAGATTCCAGGGCCACGTTGAAGGGCCCTATCCCACCACCCATGGCTGCTTCTGGACATTGTTTTAGGTTTGGATCCTGCGCACGAACAGAATTGGCTGGAAAATGTGAAAAAATGTAAATGTATTTGTTTGGCTCCTGGGTGGCTCGCCAACCGTGGCACTATGCCGGAATTTTGAGTTTTTCCGGCCTGTAAAGCCTGTCAGCAAGGCGCAAGAACTTTTAAAACATGTCCGGAGGGCCAGCATATTGGCAGGAGTGTGTGGTGCAAGTTTCACTCAAATCCATTGAGAGACACCAAAGTTACGGTCAATTGACTGCCATATGAAATTTAGGACCAGGCTGCTACCTTAAAATGATCGACTCAGAGAGTTCGTCTTTATTGATAAGTCTGAGAAATACTATTTTATTAGTACAGTGAAATAGGCAAAAAGAGAACACACCGCTTTTGGACTGTCCGGGAATTCCTTATCCAGAAGGTAGCATCCAACATCATGCACACGTTTGGAGGATTCGGCCACGATGTCCCGGATGCGTTTTAGCCTCTCCATTCGATCAATGTTGCTGATGGTGCGGAAGTTCACCCACTCTGGCAGTGCTGTAGAGACAATATAATAGCATAAGCAAACAGATACAATCATCACACTCATCCAACAACACATCCACCTCTCTCACACACAGGCATTCACTCAAGTGCACATACATGTGTATGCATGCAGACACGTGCGAGTGGGCAGTTCCACAACCACACACAACCACACTTATTTGGCAAACAATGCCTGAGCAATGCCCCACCTGATGACGCCAGATTTTCTTCGTTGTGATACACGTACAGAGCAAAGTGAATTGTCATTTTTGTGATACGCTGTATCTACACTATTTCGTCTTACCCAGTTATGTGTGTCATTATCATGTGTGTAAACCAGTATGGATCATCTTCTACACTTACCGGAGGACGAACCAAGTGCTGGCTCATGATCTGCCGACATTGGCTTCGTCGGATGGTCAGTTTTTCCACTGGCAGTTGGATCGCGTCGCTTTGCCATGGTACTGGCGACATGTTCCGCTACATGAGGCTGGCTGTGCTGAATGAGCCTCAGGAACGTGTCGACCTGTTCCTCTGTTTTCTTCAGCATCAGCCTCACCACGTACTTTGTCAGATCAGACTTCACGTTTTCCTTGCTAGAGGCAGTATCATATTCATCAACGTCCAGCACATCATTCTCCAGCAAGAGTTCCAAGATCAAGGATGCATCTAGATTGGAAAGTAGGAAGGCTATGTTATAGCGCACCCTGTCTGCCATTGTTCACACTCCTGCCTGTCCGCGTGACCACAGTTCACTCGCACTGCGGACTGATCACGATCGACATCGAGTTACTGCATAACTTCTTAGGATCAAAGAGATGTCTTATCTCACGCAATAATACGTACTGCCACGTACAAGCCGTTCATCCGTTGTGGCTCAGGTACAGAGCGAAATTGATGAAGGCAAGCAACTCTTTCGAAAATAACGCTTGAAATGTTCAGCATCAAGCTCGCATAGATCGCTATCAGCACTAGAAAAATAATCCGAAGGAGATGAAAATGCCAACGGTGTGGTAGTTCAGTACTGCAGTGCAGAGTGCAGAGGCTTTGGCCGATGGCGATGTTGGGCCGGTGGCCTGGGCATGGGCGACTCTCCAGTCATGGCTGCCGTGGCGCATGCGTGCACGAAGAAAAATCCGCGACATTTTGTCGTTTTCGGTTCCTTGGCAGATCAGAGTATGCGAGTGCATAGCCATAACTGGCATAAGCCAAGACTGATCCGAGAATCTAAGGGCGCGTTCGAATTGTCTTCATCAACTGTTCTAACAAATTTTATATAGAGATTAGTTGAAGTGTCCGAGAACGGTTTCTATCATTTTAGAGTTTTTCAGTGGAATTGTCATGGCGATGATGACGTCCGATCAGATCGACCATCGCCACGTAGACCTACTACGTGACGTAGCTATTCCAAACTCTTCGAAACTAATCCACCTTCCCATCGGATGAGTTTCGAGGAGCTTCGTTTTTCTGAAGAGGCCAATAAGGCTACCTCTTCAGAAAAACGAAGCTCCTCGAAAAGTCAAAGATTGACAATTCGAACGCGCCCTTAATGAGCCAGAGCACGCGAAAAGGGTGCTTAGCCTCACATTTTGGAAGTACATGACTTGTAATTAGTTGGGTTTTTAGTGCACCATGATGATTATTTATGAATCGAGTAAACGGTTGATCCTATATATAGCATGGCAATTGGCTGTCTTGACATGCCACGAGGTGCAGAAATAAATAAATAAAATAAATAATTGGTATTGATAATGGTCAAAGATTGAATAAAGCCAGACAGTTATAGAAAAACAAGTGTTGATCCTCATGATTTCGATGACCACAGACCTGAGACTGGAGGATTGAGGCTGTTGGATATTATTTTTGAAAATCCATTCAAACGTCAAATGGAAATGCGGTGCGTGACTAGATGGTCAACTGATCGAAATCGTTGCCTCGCGTTACAATAGCGCACGTGTCTGGTTGCTCTACGGTACCCGTGCAGTTCCGTTCTTAGTTACCTGTATCGTCCAAGATTAAAGGGGAAGTTAAGGCAAAAATTAAAATTTCACCAGTTGTAGTCTTCGGGGTGCTGAGTCGAATGGTCGTGGTCCGAGGAAGCTGAGACGCTCCCTTCCTACTTGAATCCCAATCGAACTCGCGCACTTCCACCGAAACTGGGTGACTGCGCCCTACTAGATGGGGATTTGTATGCAAAATGTCACTAAAAGCGCCATTTCGTTCTTATAAAAGCACGGATGACCGCGATTGGCCCATATGTTGTAGTCTTTTGGACGCTGAGTCGACTGGTTTTGGTCCGAAAAGGCTGCGATGCGGCGTTCCTCCTTTATTCCCAATCGAACATGGTTGAAGAAGCGGTCACGTGCTCCTGCGTACACCAGTCACCTGGTCACCGCGCCTGCAGGGTACAACTTACTAGCCTGTTTGACCTTTTTTGGGTGCAGTCCTGTCACTCGAGTTGAACTCGAGTTGAACCTTGGTGTGAAAGTTGTCACCTGCTGGCGTGGTGACCAGGTGATTTGGGCACCCAGGACCACGTGACCGCTTCTTCAACCATGTTCGATTGGGAATAAAGGAGGAACGCTGCATCGCAGCCTTTTCGGACCAAAACCAGTCGACTCAGCGTCCAAAAGACTACAACATATGGGCCAATCGCGGTCATCCGTGCTTTTATAAGAACGAAATGGCGCTTTTAGTGACATTTTGCATACAAATCCCCATCTAGTAGGGCGCAGTCACCCAGTTTCGGTGGAAGTGCGCGAGTTCGATTGGGATTCAAGTAGGAAGGGAGCGTCTCAGCTTCCTCGGACCAAGACCATTCGACTCAGCACCCCGAAGACTACAACTGGTGAAATTTTAATTTTTGCCTTAACTTCCCCTTTAAGAGCATGCGACAGTGGACTGGAAACTTCGGACAGGGGACGAGTGATCACTGCTAGCGAGCTCTGTGGCCAATGACGTGGCCAGGGTTGCCAGCGATTATTACAGTGTAGGAACGCAGAAAGGATAGTCCAGGAGCAGAAGACTCTCGAGGAAAGTGCAAGCTATGAAAAAAGGCATGCAATGGCGGCCACAGTCACACACGTAGCAAGTAGAGGCTTGCTGCAAAGAACCAACTGTGTCTTTGTGCTCCGCCCGTACAACACAGCAAAACAACAACAGAGTTGCATAGCCAGTGGCTGACGACTCTCTTACGGCCGTTGGAAAGCGCAACTGTGTTTCAAGTGTGAAAAGAACTCTAAGCGCTGAATCCAACCTACCATGAAGATCTTGATTGGTGGGACACACGGATCAATGAGCACCGCTGGAACTGCATTCTGGGTAGCATGACTCACTGGACGTCTGTGAGGACAGTGCAGAGCATGATTTTTATGATCAATCAAAAACTGCTGATTGCTGTTACGCGTACAATGATATGTACACAGGCTCACAGGAATAAACTGGCAACGACAGTGTTGGTGAAGGGAATGGCCGATATCTCCAACCTAACCTAGCAGCCGTACAAAGGCAGCATCATGATGGCCAGCTTGCCTGACGAGTTTATCATCGCTCAGTATCCAGAACCGTTCCAGCAACTTTCCCACAATGAAGTGATGATGATGGAAGCAAGGTAGCCAAATGTCAAGCTGGAAGACATGTTATCACTGGCTGCATACTGGATCAGAAACTGAGCACGGAGGACAGCTTTCACAGCAGAGATAATCAGCCATGTATCAGTGGTGGGTGCAGACAGCAGAAGCCAAGAACGGAGAAGGATAGATTACATTGAGAGCAGAGGTACGTTGTTGTTGTTGTTGTTGTTGTTGTTGTTGTTGTTGTTGTTGTTGTTGTTGTTGTTGTTGTTGTTGTTGTTGTTGTTGTTGTTGTTGTTGTTGTTGTTGTTGTTGTTGTTGTTGGTGTTGTTGTTGTTGTTGTTGTTGTTGTTGTTGTTGTTGTTGTTGTTGTTGTCGTCGTCGTCGTCATTGTTGTTGGTTTTGAAAACAAGTATACAGTAGGACCCCCTTCTCAGGCCCGTAGCAGCCCTAATTTGGTTGGTCCGGCAAGATCCGACCTCGATGCTCCCTCCCCCCCCCCCCCCCCCCGAGCCCACACTCATATATTATATGCTGGTACATGTACATGTACAAAGTGTACATGATTGTACGTGCATGTACATGGACATGTATGTAATTGTGACCATGCAGAGTGACTATAATAATAAAATAATATTTGCGGGATCTGCGTTAGCATCACTTGAATGTTCAGAAACACACACGCTATAGCCTTCGAGTGACATAGAGCGAGAAAGGGAAGAAGGATGTTCTGCATGAGTCAGGAAAAAGGGCATCAGCATGTTGTGTCTGTCCAAACAGAACTTGTTGAAGCCTATGAAGGCATAGCAACAATATCTAAATGCATGTGATAAAAGAGCCAAAATGGACCTTTGGAGGAGGAGAAAGTACATGTACATTGCAACGGAGGAATGGCAGGAGGTCATACAGTAGAGGACAACACCCACGTAGTGCTATGTACATGTACATGACATGGTATTCGCTACATGTACATCAGGGAGTCGTACTCAAACTAGGGAGGTGACACGGCACAGAAATTCGTGTCACAGGGGTTGACTCGCACCCGTGACCCCACGTTGTTATTTTTGGAATAGTTCAGTCCAGTCCAGTCCGAAAGGTCATACTCGGATCGACTCGCCTTCTGTACTTCACCTCCAAGCGTGCCGCATGGGTGTCTAGTTTTTGAAATTATTGAGGCAGCACATTTCGTTTACAGCCCATCAATCGCCAGTATTCTTTGAAAGACTACCAGCAATTTGTTTACCTCCTGCCATGTCCGAACTAATTGATAGCAGTGATGGCAACAGCAGCAGTTATGAGACGGCGTGTAGTGTTACGGTAACTGTTCAGAACTGTTCAGAGTCGTATCCTAGGTTAATCCGAATACTAAAAATTGACCCAAATTGCACATAGCACGAAGCTGGTTTTTGAAAATTGTAAGTCGTGTATCTGCCCCATTTCTTCTTTATGACTTGCACAATACACCAGTCTTCCTAAACAACACATTTATAGCAGGGGTTAAGTACCATAAGAGAAGTACAGCCAGTGATATTGTCATGTTGAAATACTACAATTTTGACACAAATTACACATAACACGAAGCCAGGTTTTGAAAAATGTAAGTCGTGTATCTGCCCCATTTCTTCTTTATGACTTGCACAATGGTCCAGTCTGCCTAAATAACACATTTATAGCAGGGGTTATGTACCATATTAGAGAAGTACAGCCAATGATATTGTCATGTCTAAATACTACAATTTTGACACAAATTAGACATAACACGAAGCTGGTTTTTGAAAATTGTAAGTCGTGTATCTGCCCCATTTCTTCTTTATGACTTGCACAATACACCAGTCTTCCTAAACAACACATTTATAGCAGGGGTTAAGTTCCATACAAGAGAGCTACATTGTACATCTAGTCATACTGTCATAAACAGCCAGCATTTTTCCTGCAGCAGTCACACCACCATCATCATTATTTCCAGGGAAATCCTCTTACATTGTCAGCTCCTACGTCGTTAGATACAATGTAGGGGGCTGTAGGACCGGCTCGTCAAAGATAGAGAACCTGAACAAGCGTGCTCGGGACGTCTCAGCAATCGTAGTATGCCTGAGCACTCCAATAAAAACTTGATCAATGGCAAAATCGTTCCCCACAGAAAAATCATACTTTGCGGGTCTCGCGTTGCACGCTTGGAGGTGAAGTACAGAAGGCGAGTCGATCCGAGTATGACCTTTCGGACTGGACTGGACTGAACTATTCCAAAAATAACAACGAGGGGTCACGGGTGCGAGTCAACCCCTGTGACACGGATTTCTGTGCCGTGTCACCTCCCTAGTTTGAGTACGACTCCCTGATGTACATGTATTACCATGAGTTATAATACTCTTGCTATTACCATGTACTACCTCTACTTATTGCACACATCATGGGTGGACATCCTGAGCTGCTCACATGTATTGTGTGAGCTCCTGCTTTTTTTTTTTTTTTTTTTTTTTTTTTTTTTTTTTTTTTGGGCGAATATTGGTCCGGCAGCTGACCGCCTGCTACGGCCCTGCTTCCCCCACCACCATCACCATCACCATCACCACCATCACCATCACCATCACCATCACCACCATTACCGTCATCCCCCTATCCGGGAAGAATGGGACCGGACACTGCCTATAACTGGGAATTTCCCTAAACTTGGAATAGTTTTGTTTTTCCCGTCTGAGCGTAGACGGAAGTCCTCTGATTAGGGAACTTTTACTGTACTGTCAAGATTGTAGCAAGCTGGGTGGAATCATGACTATGGGTGAAACAAATCAGTCACCGAGTATTCTCACATGATTCGTTTTCAGAGCATATCGGCCAAGAGCCATCATCAGTAGTTTGTTACTAAGTTACGTAATTCAAACAAGTATGACTTGGTTATCCACTTAGGGGAAGTTAAGCCGTTAATCAATTATTCACCAGTTGTATTCTTCGATGTGCTGAGTCGAATGGTCTTGGTCCGAGGAAGCTGAGACTCCCTTCCTTCTTTTTTCCCAATCGAACTCGCCACTTCCACCAAAACTGGGTGACTGCGCCCTACTGGATGGGTATTTGTAGGCAAAATGTCACTAAAAGCGCCATTTTGTCCTTATAAAAGCACAGATGAGCGCGATTGGCCCATGTGTTGTAGTCTTTTCGACACTGAGTCGACTGGTTTTGGTCCGAGAAGGCTGCGATGCAGAGTTCGGCCCTTATTCCCAATCGAACATGGTTGAATATGCGGTCATGTGCTCATACGCACACCAGTCACCTGGCCACCATGCCTGCAGGGTACAGCTAACAGCCTGCTTGGGTGCGTTCATGTCACTCGAGTTGAACTTGAGTTGAACCTTGGTGTGAAAGTTGTAGCATACCGGCACGGTGACCAGATGACTTGTGCACGCATGAGGACGTATACCCTAAAATCAAATTTTCAACAGTTGTAGTCTTCTGGGTGCTGAGTCGAATGGTCTTGGTCCGAGGAAGCTGCGACGCTCCCTTCCTTCTTTTTTCCCAATCGAACCCGCGCACTTCCACCGAAACTGGGCGACTGCGCCCTACTAGATGGGGACTTGTATGCAAAATGTCACTAAAAGCGCCATTTCGTTCTTATAAAAGCACGGATGACCGTGATTGGCCGATATGTTGTAGTCTTTTGGACGCTGAGTCGACTGGTTTTGGTCCGAAAAGGCTGCGATGCAGCGTTCCTCCTTTATTCCCAATCGAACATGGTTGAACAAGCGGTCACGTGCTCCTGGGTGCCCAAATCACCTGGTCACCACGCCAGCAGGCGACAACTTTCACACCAAGGTTCAACTCGAGTGACAGGACTGCACGCAAAAAAGGTCAAACAGGCTAGTAATTTGTACCCTGCAGGCACGGTGACCAGGTGACTGGTGTACGCAGGAGCACGTGACCGCTTGTTCAACCATGTTCGATTGGGAATAAAGGAGGAACGCTGCATCGCAGCCTTTTCGGACCAAAACCAGTCGACTCAGAGTCCAAAAGACTACAACCTATGGGCCAATGGTGGTCATCCGTGCTTTTATAAGAACGAAATGGTGCTTTTAGTGACATTTTGCATACAAATCCCCATCTAGTAGGGCGCAGTCACCCAGTTTCGGTGGAAGTGCGCGAGTTCGATTGGGAATAAAGGAGGAAGGGAGCGTCTCAGCTTCCTCGGACCAAGACCATTCGACTCAGCACCCCGAAGACTACAACTGGTGAAAATTTGATTTTAGGGTATACTACCCCTTTAATCAATATGTTCGATTGGAAATACGGGCCGAACGCTGCATCACAGCTTTCTCCGACCAAAACCACTTGACTCAGCGTCCGAAAGACTACAGCATATGGGCCAATCGGGGTCATCCGGGCTTCTATAAGAATGAAATGGCGATTTTACAAATCCCCATCTCAGTGACAAGGACGCAGTCACCCAGTTTCGGTGGAAGTAGCGAGGTCGAAAGGGAATAAAGGAGGGAGGGAGCGTCTCAGCTTCCTCGGACCAAGAACATTCGACTCAAAACCTCGAAGATGACAACTGGTGAAAATTTGATTTTAGGCTTAACTTGCCCTTTTAAGGTTTGTTTTGAACCAACTAAATCAAAAACACTTCAAGCACACAACTCCTTGGAATACGAATACTAGTATATGTAGAAGAGAAAAGGACATATGGATACGAGTTAAGAGTAACTCTCCATCACTGTAACATGATACTATATACAGTCAGAAAGTGCGATAACTAGGCACAAAACTGACAGAGTACTGAAATATTCGACGTCCTGACACCTAGCTTCAACACATCTCCGTAGCGCTAACCGACAGCCTTCCAACTTGGAAGGTTCAATCTTAACTCGTATCCATATGTCCTTTTCTCTTCTACATTTATTTATGGCTCAACATCCGAGTTTCAAAATACTAGTATACATGAAATTTCTGACTGTCATGTACATTGTACAAATCATTGGGTTTTGTTTGTTTGTTTGTTTGTTACCTTTATTTTACTTCACCATAGGTACAGGCATTGCTGCCTTCTTGCTGTGGATCATAAATGATGCCACAGCTCCTAGGCTATGATGAAAAATATAATAGTATGATAGATTAATATGATAAGATGTCATGACCGTCAGCAGGACAATTATAAAAATACCATGCAGCAGTGTATTTTATGTGTGTTGTGGTTGTACATGTAGATAATAATTATTGATGATGGACAGGGGACAGAACGTACTCGTGTGTCAATAGCTAATGGAGTGAAGTGAGATCAAGATCTGAAAGAGATTTTTTGAAATGAACAAGGTTTGTTAGAGAGCGGGTAGCATCAGGTAGAGAGTTCCATGTGGTGCTGCCCAGAAATTGGATAGAACATCTCCCAGCAGGATTGGGTAGGAATGGGATGCGAAGTAAATTATGCAGCTGCCCACGGGTGACTATACGATCAGCAAGTGGTATCTGAGGCTGGGCAAGTAATACAAAATAATCTTGAAAGAGAGAGCTTGCAGATCCGTGTATAGACCGGAAAACAAATACAAGCAGCTTCTGTAAAAGGACTTGGTGAAGTGATGGTATGGATAACTTAGCAAGCAAGGGAGCTGTTGCAGTGCGGCGGGGAGCCTGAAACACAGCACGAATACCAGACTTATGCAGTTTTACAAGGCAATTACGCAGAGACCGTGAAAGCGCAGGAAAGAAGCAATTAGAGGCGTAACAGAGATGAGTTTGCAACGGAAGTTGTCATTTGCTGTTTACGGGGTTTTATTAATTATTTTCAATGGGAGATCAAGGCGCTATCCGTATTTGCCAGTATTTATCACACGTGAACAAAACGGAGACTTTTTGAGATCCTCCTCCAAAGCGTGCACACATGCATGTAGTGAGTGAACCGTTCGCCTCAGTTGTATGTGTATACTGCTCTGCACATTTGTGCATTGAGAACTCTGCTTTGAGGTGCCTTGACCGGCCTTGTTAGCACATGTAGTGAAGTCAGTACGATTCCTTTGAGAGATGATTAACATTCACATGGACTATAGTGTAAGAGTAAGAAATGGGATGAGGAGGGTGGGTCAGAATATGAAAGCTATCTGCACACAAGGAAACTGGAAAAGACAGCAGGCTCAGTTGTGCGCACAGGAAAACCTGCGCATGCGCAGAGCGTGCGAGCATGTTATGTCTACGATACACAGCAGTATGTAGAGAGAGAGCAAGATCGTGCACGCACATAAAGAGGGCCATGCGACCCGTTATAAAGAGCCAATAGCGGAGCGATGGTACGTGACTGTTAGCAACGGTTTAACTTGACGGTTTAACTCAATGGTTTAACTCATACGTAATTCATACGTTAACCAAACCTTATTAAAATGCTGGTATGCTTTGTAAGTGTTCTTGGAAAAAAAGTAGAAATCACTGTATCCACCCGCACCCCCAACATATGTTTTGTACCATCATGAGTATTTTTGACAGTTATGTACGGGTATGTGGATACTCTTTTTATGCTGACACTTCACATTGTTTGCTGGCTATCACAGGCAACCATGGACTACCTGACAGTGTTCAAGTACTGGAAATCACCAACACAGATCATGCAGTTTGTCCACCAACCAGTGCAATGCTAACTGATAGCCGAGTAGCAAGGTAAGACCAAGTTCAGCTGAAACTGAACCAGCTGATTACACTCGTGTGATGTATTTTCACGACTTGTGTATTTGATTGTCACCAACAGCACTGTCGGGCGCCGAAGAACGAACAGGCTAGGATTTCACCCAGCACAGCATACCAATGTTTGCACGGAGACTCAACTCGGCATAGACGGTAATGCATGAATATAAGCACAGTCTATGCTTGGAGGCTGACCCCTCACCCCCCTATACTTGCCAACCACACCGGTTTTCCCGGTATATATATATATATCGGCATAGGCTGTAGTGCATAACAATAATCACAGTCTAGGCTAGGAGGCTGCCCCCTCTCCCCCGTCTCTTCAGTTCTTTGGTGACCGACAGTACTGTAGACATTTACACCCAAAGGCCATACCCATAGTTTGCTAGAATATTATTATGTCATGTGAAAATTAATGCGATTAATAGTATTAGTGAAGCGGACATTACAAAATGATGAATGAGAATACATGTATCTAAAATGGTTGTTCCTAATCGATTTTCTTGAGACTATCATCAGGGAAAATATATAATATAAGTAGTTTGTTTCTCCGTATAGCCTCTATTGTGAGACGATTTTCCCTGATGATAGTCTCAAGAAAATCGATTAGGAACAACCATTTTAGATACATGTATTCTCATTCATCATTTTGTAATGTCCGCTTCACTAATACTATTAATCGCATTAATAAAGTTATTGTCTCCTCGTCGCCTTTTCATGTGAAAATATGTTGCTATGACAATACCCCACTTAATCAGGGATATTTTTGACTCATGTATTCAGTAAAATAGAAGAAATCACACGGAAACGAGTTACGAAGTTATTATCCACGACTGTAACAAGATAGTAAGAAGTCAGAAAGTGCAATAACAGGGCACAAATCTGACATGTTACTGAGACATTGAACGACCTGATACCTAGCTCTCACACACCCGCCAGTCCAGTGCACAAACCAACAGCCTTCCAGCTTGGAAGGTTCAAGGGTATGGTAGGACCAATAAGGGGAAGGTGAGCGCAGCGAAAATGCGCACAAGCTAAGTCCAACGGCAACAATGAATGCCGACCGTTACAGGACCATGACGAGACCAGTTAATAACATGACAATGCGGTCTAACTACAATTCGAAGCAGCAAAGCAACACACCACCCAACTTGGGTGGGTCAGCAATATCAGAGATAAAGAAAGGGGGAAGCTTTGCGAAAACTAATTGTACAAACCGGACGTCAATATCCAACGGTACTCCTCATGCATTACTGTTGTGTACGAGTTGACTTGGTTTGCACAATGGCGTGTGTATGAGAGCTAGGTCTCAGGTCGTGAAATGTCTCAGTAGTATGTCAGTTTTGTGCCCTGTTATCGCACTTTTTTACTATTTATTATCTTGGTACAGTCGCAGGTAGTTGCTTCATAACTCGATTCCATGTGATTTCTTCTATTTTAATTTAGGGGTGAAAGTTGGCATTGAGATCCCGAGTTCGAGTACTCTGATTTTCTCCGAGCGAATATTCGAGTATTCGAGTATTCTTCATCTCCTAAAAATTGCACACCGAGGGCCTTAAAATCACATGATACACCCCTGATTGAACCGAATGGCAGTCATTTTTCTCCGGTATATTGGTTGCTGGGTCATTTGGGCTCTCTCTACTCTTGAACAAATGTTCACCACACAGTCTGCACATCAATATCTGCCGATTGCTGCTCTGAAACTGCAGATTTCTGTGGTAAATGCATGTACCACGTATGAACGAGTACTCTGATTTATTCCGAGTACGATTATTTCTGAAAAAACCGAGCGAGTACTCGAGTATTCGGTATAATTGTTTCACCCCTATTTTAATTATATTTATTGGCTCAGTATCCAAGTTTTAAGGGGGTTCGGGACAGTTAGGCCCAAAAAATTAATTTCAACATCAGCCCAATCTGACATCAGGTTTGAATAGCTACAGCCTTATATTTTCGCTTAGTAACATCAGTTTTTCAATTGCCTGAATAGGTCTTGCCAAAAACACAATTTTCCTTGATGACACAAAATAACACAAAATCCGAAAATTGATGAGAAATCGTCCATAACACTAGTTAGGACAGAAAATATGACATAAAATTATACAGACTGTTCGAGGTATTGACTAAGATGATATCAACACCGAAAAATGTACACTTTGGTTGACGATGGGATCCAGGTCGTCATTTCCTTGAGAAGAACAAAAAGACGCAAAAAATGAAACTTTGAATATTTTTTGCAGCTTATTTTTGAGTTTGCCCCATATGTGGATACTTCAAATACATTCTATAAGTGGGTTGGAACAGGTTTACCGTGGCGAAAATAGGGGTCACCGTGCATATTCTGGAGAAAAATCCAAAAAACTGTCAAAATTTGCCTAAAATTGGTAAATTCACGTATCTATATTGCTTGTACTTCGCTGCTGCTGCTTTGGTCATAACTTATTGGATTTTTGGCTGTTAGGTGTTGCATAAACTCGCTAGAGCCCTCGGCGTTCAGAACAATACAAGGATGGAATAGCTGAACTAGTGAATTTGCCGGAAAATCCTGGGTGCACGCATTATCGATAGGTACTTTTCTCCATGATTACTCTCCTGTTGGTACTTGGTTTTGATACATGTACATGTGTTGGAATCTTCGGAAAGCATGCAGATTCCTCACATCCAACACCACACGACACAGCAAGCCAGGGGCACCAGAATTACATGGATAAACTGAAGTTCAGAGAGAAAAAACGACAACCGTCTTCTAACTACCAAGGGAAGAGAAGCACTTCTTGTCGAAGGGAGAATACATAAAAAGGGAGAAGAAAGCCAAAAATGGGTACGCGGCATAGGAAAGTACAACATTATCGTACCACGCAATACGGTGCGTGAAAACACCGCGCGCGGGTACGCGGGATCGGCAGAAACTAGAGTAGAGTGATTATGGATATACGGGACCAAAAAGTAAGGAAGGGTCAAGAGTACAAGTTGCGATTTAGACAAATTTGACGGAAATCTCCCGGGCATGGGGTTTGGAGTGGATACACTACACATGTAGCTGTGATAGCGCTTAGCACAGCCCCATATCAAACTACAATGAAAGCTGACATGTTGGAACGAATCAGAAAACATTGAGTCCTCTTGTTCTTCAACTATGCGAGCTAGAACGTGTTCCCACACTGGCAAAATGATGGCATTTTACGGTGCGCACAAACAAGTGAAGCGCTGTGCCACAGGGCGTTGCTTACAGTTGGGTTGCTGCTGGTTCTTGGCTAGGTGTTCAGCCACCGCTAATATAATCTTCCTTGAGGCTGTCACCCGCTTCTTACCTCTGACTTGCTCCTTCATCAGTCTGGAAATGGCTGGCTCACCATTTCGTTTGTAGGACAAGACAAAGTGCTTCATCACCAACCCACTAGCAGCTGCCCGCACTGCAACTGATTTAGAGCAGCACGTTGCTTGGACCAACGGTTGAAGGGTGGCCAGCCGCTTTTGCTGATGTTCTGCAAACTCCATCGCCGAACATGCTGATGCAAAAGTGACAGAGTGCTACAGGATACTGGCATCAGGGCGAGCTTCGACTAGGGCCGCAATATCCGCAATAGCATCATGAGCAGCGAACTCATTCCCAACGATGAACTATAAATCAATGTGAGGCTGTAGCTTGGGAGGTCCGGTATCGCGGTTTAGGGATCAGAGTGTACACCCAGCACAAAAATGCACACCATCGACACACACATGCGTGCACACATACACACTCACACACACACACACACACAGACACACAGACACAGACACACACACATGTAACACAAAAAATTATAGAACCGCAATAATGGGATAAAAGTACCGGCAATCAGAATTGAAAACACTCATCATTGAACGCACTACAAAACGCAGGCCCACGCTAATACACACACACACACACACACACACACACACACGCATGCTCTCACACGCAATAGAACACACACGCGCGCGTGCGCGTGCACACACATACATTCACGCACGTGTACGTACCCACCCACATGCATGTGCACACTCATGTGCATGAGTGGAGATGCCCGCATACACAATCATGTCACACCAACATGCCCTTGGGGCGGCCATGCACGTGTGTATAGTATATGTGCGAGGGCACGTCCACATGAGCGCATATGCATGTGCATGTTCATACATGCGTATGGTGCACACATGCACAAACATGCAGGTCTATGCAAACACACACACGCTCGCGCGCGCCGCGCATACAGTGTGCTCATACATTTCCATAGCCATAGGGTGGCAATGACTCGCAAATATCATGAATAAATCTGATGAGATTGAAAAACACACTTACCCAAAGCAGCTTTGGTGTTGCTTGTGGAAGCACGGGGGCCAGGGTGCTGAGCAGTTACAGGGCTATCTGTATCTATAATTCTCCATCCCACACTGCTGACACGGAATGACAAGTACGCTGCCCAGGCCGTACCTCTTCTCTTCAACGCAATCAACGAGCGCCAGAGGTTTGCCACATCCAGGATTCTGGCAAGCAGACAATCCCACAGCCAGATACCTGAGATGAACGATTCGTCGACCGTGAAGAGGGGCACTGAACGACCTCTTCGCGGGAGTCGAATCCAGTGGCGTTGGTGGTGGAGATCGCCCTTTCCGTTTTTCAGGAACTCGATCGATCGTTCGAGCTTGCGAAGCGTCCCCCTTCTCGGCTTCTTGAATCGTCCAGTACGCAGAATGCGAGGCCGCGTCGTGGGTGACAGATTACTCTCCCGCGTCTTCATCTCCACGACACGTCGACAGGAGAACCAAGCTATCCAAAAACCGCCGATGTCAAAACAAATCCGCAAGTCCAGTAGCGGCTGAGCTTCTTCCTCAAATCTTGTCTCGACTCGAGCACGCGCTGCGAAGTCATGGTCAAACTGCTTGCATGATGATCGCGTCCCATTTTTCCACTCCGAAAGGCATTATTTTTCAGAAAAAAATTCGGAAATCCAACATGGCGCTTACCGTCGCGAACCTCCTTAAAGGGGAAGTTAAGGCAAAAATTAAAATTTCACCAGTTGTAGTCTTCGGGGTGCTGAGTCGAATGGTCGTGGTCCGAGGAAGCTGAGACGCTCCCTTCCTACTTGAATCCCAATCGAACTCGCGCACTTCCACCGAAACTGGGTGACTGCGCCCTACTAGATGGGGATTTGTATGCAAAATGTCACTAAAAGCGCCATTTCGTTCTTATAAAAGCACGGATGACCGCGATTGGCCCATATGTTGTAGTCTTTTGGACGCTGAGTCGACTGGTTTTGGTCCGAAAAGGCTGCGATGCAGCGTTCCTCCTTTATTCCCAATCGAACATGGTTGAACAAGTGGTCACGTGCTCCTGGGTGCCCAAATCACCTGGTCACCACGCCAGCAGGCGACAACTTTCACACCAAGGTTCAACTTGAGTTCAACTCGAGTGACAGGACTGCACCCAAAAAAGGTCAAACAGGCTAGTAAGTTGTACCCTGCAGGCACGGTGACCAGCTGACTGGTGTACGCAGGAGCACGTGACCGCTTGTTCAACCATGTTCGATTGGGAATAAAGGAGGAACGCTGCATCGCAGCCTTTTCGGACCAAAACCAATCGACTCAGCGTCCAAAAGACTACAACATATGGGCCAATCGCGGTCATCCTTGGTTTTATAAGAACGAAATGGCGCTTTTAGTGATATTTTGCATACAAATCCCCATCTGAGTAGGGCGCAGTCACCCAGTTTCGGTGGAAGTGCGCGAGTTCGATTGGGATTCAAGTAGGAAGGGAGCGTCTCAGCTTCCTCGGACCACGACCATTCGACTCAGCACCCCGAAGACTACAACTGGTGAAATTTTAATTTTTGCCTTAACTTCCCCTTTAAATCATGTATTCATGTCAATGTTTTCTGCCTTCCCCAGATGGATGTGTCGACGTCAGTGCAGAACGCCTTTGTGATGTGCAATGCAGCTTTGCAATTGCAGCAGGTGGTGCATGGTGGTAGGAGGTAGGATAGTCCAACAGTGTTGATTGTGCAAAGATCAAATCTCACTCACTCTCCGGGTGCGTAGCTGTCAGTGCAAGAAAGCTGATTTGCGCATCACGCTGTGTGGGTCACACGGACGACGCACAGCAGAAACAAATCTACCTACTGCCGCTTTCTCTTGCTGGTTGTGCTGCAGCATGAATCCAGCAGTTGTTAAATGTTCCTCCTCTCGTCCTCTCCTCAGCAAATAAATGTATATTCTGAATTAGTCTCTGGCGTGCTCGCTCTTGTGGCTTCTTTTTCATGACCACCCCCCCCCCCCCTCCCCCTCCTCACTGTCTCTTTCTCCCACTGTGTTTGTGTGTCTACCTAGCTCTCTCTTTCTCTCTCTCTCTCTCTCTCTCTCTCTCTCACTCTCTCTCTCTCTCACTCTCCCTCTCCCTCTCCCCTTCTCTCTCTCTCTCTCTCTCTCTCTCTCTCTCTCTCTCTCTCTCTCTCTCTCTCTCTCTCTCTCTCTCACGTTTTTCGGGGCACGAATCTATGCCGAAGCCCGCTACTATTTCCTCTGCTCATCTAGTTTCAAATCTTTCCGATTCCACTTTTAAGACATCTTAGACTGACAGAGCATTCAGGGCTTGGTGTGAAACCTGCCATTTTGTAAACTGCATTGTGTGAGTTTCCAAGGTTGCTATGAAAACATGCAGTCATAGACGTGGCCACCCATTGTGCATGTATTGTTACGAGATCAGGTGCTAGGCAACGGCCAAGCGTTTAATCAAGTATCACGCTACCAAGAGTACATAACCCCTGGGGGATATGTACTCTTGATGCTACTCATGCAATGCAGAGCTCATGTTAGCGGCGAGTATCCCATTTCCTTTGTGCTGTGGGATATCACAATACCATTTTGCTGTGGGATATCACAATATCTTTGTGCTGTGGGATATCATGCTACCCTTGGCTGTGCTGTGGTGTATCACATTGCCCCTGGCTGAAATCAAACCTCCACTTGAAGGAGTTGCATTTTGATAGAAAGTATGTTTTTCGCAGTAAAAGAGTATTTATTTGTAGAGCTTGTGTTGATACAGATTCCTAGGTTCGAACCCCAAGATGGGCAGTCAGGCCATGTAAAATATATAGATTGTTTATCGTCAGATTTTCCTGAGAAATCGGGGCGGACAGGAGGTATTTTATTTTTATTTTGCATGTATGGCTGTATGGTAGGTGCTCGCAACCCCTAGACATGCCTCTTTCTTCACTTTTCTTTTTTTGAAGCCAATTTGCACAGAGTGAGATAAATCCATGTGAGGCAGATGAATTGTCAGCCACAACATCTTGCAAGATAGTTTTGAGGATGCAAATAGGGAAAAGTGAAACAACCAACGTAGGACAACAAAGGGAACCAGGCAGCTGATAATCTGTTTTACTTTTCAAGCCTATAGCACCATGTATGATCATCAATCTGCGGGCTTCGCCTTCCAAGATCTACAGCCACGCTCATTAGAGGTCGTATAGGCATGGATCGCAGTACATACAGTACATTTTACCGGAACTAAAAAATAAAATAATTCGGCCGGGAGGGCGAAAAATCGGGGCGGGCGCGGACGATAAACAATCGATTTCTTTTGCTTGGCCTTAGTTACATTTTTCTCTCCTTGCGTATTTGTATCTGCATGTTATTACCCTTGCCGTGAGTCGCTCGTGAGTCGTGTATGAGTCGTGTATTGCTAAACCCGTATTTCCCCACTTTACCCGTACGACTGTCTGTTGTGAACTGTGATTGGCTGCTAGTATTATTGTTCCAGAATGTTCCAGAGCTGTGAACTGTGATTGGTTAATTATGCTAATGTTTCTAGAATTTCGTCGGCGACCGGTTTTCGTAGATTGCTGATTGGTTAATGACCTAAAACATGGCTGCCGGTTGCCGGACTTTTGTTCCCTTGCTTTCTTCTTTCTTGTTGCATTCCAAGTGTGTATAATATTTCTTTCCTGATAAGTACTGGTAAAGTACGACGTGAGTGTGTTAACTGGAGTGATTGTGATTACCCTCCGGGGTCAGCTCTTAGACACTACTGGACATATTATTGTTGTGTCCAGCTGATGTCCGAAATGAAAACTACCTTTAACACATGCACCGTTCACTAGTGACTGGGGAAGGGTTGTGATTGTAGTAGATGACGTGGCTGCTTTGTGTTCAACATCAAGTAGGCATGCCCACAAGCAGTACAATTATACTGAATGCTCATTGTTCATAGCAACCAGCATCCGTGGAGCAGTCGGGTCAACTGTATACCAATTTGAAAGATTTTTTGAATGAGAATCTCATTACAAATTATTCAATTCTGATGAAGCACTACCTGAAGGAAAATGTCATCAGTTCATCAGTTCATTCCGAGTTACGTATAATTTTCAAAAGGATTGACTTGGCTTGACTTGACAAAAACTGGTTCAAGACTCGGTAAGCATTTCTACATTGTCACATGAGTATTAGCAGTGCTGCTAGATTTCAATACTGGAGTAAAATATGATGTGTCACGATCTCAAGGGTAATAGCATGAATTTGTATGTACAGGGTATGGCTGACACTGCTATGGCAATATACATTGCAGTATAAACATTTGTAGAGTAGAGTTTTCCAGGTTTAACTGACATAGCGGTAACTATTCTGTACAGTGACTAGTGTAAAAACAGTAGGTGAGAGTAGACATGAACACATTCAGTAAAACTGATACCACAGTAGACTGGACTAGACAGTACATGTAGTTCAGTTGATCATTATTATCTACATACTAACACAACACTGTGTGTGTCATAGACAATCTGTATACGTCATGTCTATACAAGTGATGTCACAGTGTTGTGATCAATGACAGGTAGTGTGCTGTTGGAGTATCTCTTACTGCAGTAGCTGCTTGAAATGATCCCTGTCCAGTGCTGGTCACTTTCACCAATCTCAACTGCTAAACACTATCCAGTAGAGATCTTCAGAAGCTCACCTAGCCCTGTAGAATGTACAACAGAGAGGGTGCATATACACATGCACACACACCACCACACACTCACACACACCCAAACACACACACACACACATACCAAAACACACACACGCAGGCAGACACACCCATTTACTTGAAGCCCTGGGCGTAGAATTGGTCGTATCAAGAGTACATAACCCCCAGAGTGCGCAACTGGGATGGGGTTGTGAGACGTCGTAATCCGTGATGTACGTCATTTTTTGGGTCGGACTTGCCTCATTCCATCGACGCGGTGTACCACGTCCACACTTCCCCTACTCATGATGTCATTATTATTACGTGCAAAACGGATTTCGCCGTCCCAGATCTGATAAGTGAACTTGCGCACTCTGGGGGGTTATGTACTCTTGGTCGTATGGATTGCATGAGTTGGTGCTAAGGAATGAGGTCATTGTTATAATAATCATGACTCATAATGACATCATGCCTGGTATCTACAGGCAACGTATGTACACATTCTGGATAACATCAAGCTGTCAAACAGGTGACCATCAAACAGGATACGTTGCACACATACTACAGAACTTGCGACGACATTCCCTGCAAGGGAATTTTTCCCGATAAATTCCACTATTTTTATATCTAGTACGCATATGCTGAGCCAAGGAAAACAATTTTGTAATATGGAAATTGGGGGCACAAGTTATGCGATTCCATATTACAATTTTTTATATTTGTTCCCACTTATGCCCCCCCCCCCCTCCCCCCTCTTTCTTGTCCCACACACATACACACAACCCACAATCTCGCAAGTATGCAAAGAAGCAGGCACACACGCACACGCACAACACGCACACACACACACACTTGTACTTGCTCACTGCCAAAACTGGTCACGTGGGTCTCCCGGGAGAGGGGAGAGAGACTCAAAAGGAATCTTGGAAAGATGACTCAATTGGCCATTGAACCACCCAACGGCCGACACCCCTGAAATCCCCAAACTAGGGTGGATTTGAAATGATCCCACTTATGGGCTCACCACACCTCAGTAAGTGGGACACACACATACACACCTTTGACCTGACCTTTGACGCCCATCGCCGGAGGCGATGATAGCAATGCTACGGCAGAAGCCATAGCAACTTGTGCTGGGATTACACCATTCAACAGCTTGCAAGGCTGAAGAATTGACCGTCACTATTCAGCCTGGTCTACACCATGCAGCTATTTGGAGTGACATTTTCTGGCCAGTGAATCCCTATTTTTGGTCACATACACACACACACACACACACACACACACACACACACACACACACACACACACACACACTCCGGGTCGCTAATCCTGGTATACACAACCATGCAGTTCATGACTTTCTCATTGCACGAGACGAAGACGAGAAGAGGCGTGGGTGTTTGTGACGGGATAAGCAGGCGCATGTACCGGGTCAAAAAAAGGTGGTGTCCAAAAATTGTCGACCGCCATTTTGCAATAAGCTACATGCACATTCAGCAGTATTACACGCACTAAATTTTGATTACACACTGAAAGAAAGCTTTAAAAGTTACGGCTGCCAGTCCCACCGAGCCATCAAAACAAAATTTACAAAGGCATTTTCCTGACACAGAATAAATGAATAGGCTAGCCGGCATTATACAAGTAGTTCGAAGTAGTAAAGGAAGATTCAGACACTCTTGCTAGCAAGTGAATCAAAGAAGCAGGTCAATCCCTGTCACTGTCTGAGTCTGCAGTGGTACTATAGCCCTGGGAAGACACGCTCCAGTCGGCTGCTACTTGCACCGAGAGGCGCACTAGAGGGCAATCATTCTCTTCACTTTCTTTGCCCGCTGCTACCACTAGATATGGCATGTTCTCTATTTCTTTCCTTGGCGCTGATAGGTGGAATTCTCTGCCTGTCTCGTGTCGTCAGGATGAGCATCTATCCGTTTTTGTTTCGCTCTGTAAAGAGCACTTAGGGTTCCCTGTAACAAGACGGCAACGTCTGTAGGGCCTTCCCTAATAATATATTCTACTACTACTGCTGCTGCTGCTGCTGCTGCTGCTGCTGCTGCTGCTGCTGCTGCTGCTACTACTACTACTACTACTACTACCACTACTACTACTACACACGCAACCGGAAATTGAGACAATTCGCTAAGAAAATCCCGATCCATGGTATTTTTGTAGTATTCATCGTAGAGCGATCCTTTCTTTTGTAGCTGACCGCTAAAGACCTGTGCCTGACGTCAAATATGTCTCATGCATGTCTGGACTGTCGTACAATAGAGGAAAATATTTATGTCAAAATAATATGATTGCCACCCAAGTGCGGAAGTGAAAATTTGCAATGGGACGAAAAATACCTGTCGAGTGTCGTAACTCCACTACTCGACCTTGGATCGACTTCGGATTTGTTGGAGCCGACAGCTGAGAATTTCTAATACGAGTAGACCTTTCGATTACTCAATTCCGTTCAGGGAAAGCCGAGTTACGAAATATTTGAGTGTTTGCAGAATGCACTTCATAGCGGATGCAAAAAGGTGGTTTCCGGGCTCCAAGAAAACCACGCGGTGCATGCGCCTGATAAGTGGCTTCGCCTTTTAAATCACTTCTGGCAATTTCGGCATTGTAGTTGGAACGTGTCTCTTTCATCGGCAGTTGGGCGCTTGGTGGACCGGTCACACGGTTGTGGAGAAAAAATCCCTGGATCAATTTGCAGCAAAGTTCAAAAACGGCATAGTATGCCGCCGTACAGCATGGTTTCCGGATACATGAACATACAGGTACAGAGCTCCCGACATCAACATCATTAGAGACAGAACTGGACTGGGTACAGCGGTGAACTGCAATGCCACCCGCACACACACCGAAACCATCGGTGATATTGGGAGCACTGGCGACTGTAAGCTTGATACTGAACTGGTTCATTGCTCGGCCATTGTGCCCATTGTGCCGTGTAGCAGCAGTAACGATAGCACAATGCAATTAGGGTCGACCTGTGACAAATCAACATGGTGGACTAGTCACAGGTTGACGCGGTGCAAGACCAATCTGAGTGGCAGCAGGGTACGTTGAGTGAATACGACCAGCTCACAAAATGGCCAGGGAGATAGGCAGTGAGGTGAGCAAGTGTGCATAGGCTCGACAAAAAGATATCGCCAACACAAGTGCCCATACATGCAGTCACACAAAACACACACACACACACGCACACACACACACACGCGCGCACATACTTAAAGTCTGTCCTATTGAGCCAATGT